GGCCTAGAGTGAGCGGAGGCCGGCTTGAGTGAGCGGATATCGTCCTCTTTTGGAAGACCAAACAAAGTAGTTTCGCTTTCACAACGAAGCACACAGCGCCTTCACGACATGGCGGCGGCGGCAACAATACTACAGCTAGAATAAAAGTTACGCCTTCTTTCTTTGTGTGAACATTTGGGCGGCGTTATGCAAATCTTCCCACATAGTGAGGTAGATATGTGGAGGTGTGTTAGAACAAGCCGTTTTAGGTAGGTGTGGCTAACTCTTAACTTTTATAAAGAATATCTCTTTGGATTTGAGACTTTAGTCTTTGCAACTTTACAGATCTTCTTTATGCACCAAGAGCTTGTAACACTCCAAAGAGAAAGGAAAAAATGAAATCGCATCATATGACCCCTTTAAGTTAAACTTCGCAACTGAGAAATGTCATGTAGCTTTTCAGCTGCGAAACTATTTTATTGATAAATTCGCGGGGCAGCGCTGACAATAAGTTTCTGTTCACGTCTCCGCGTGTCTGTACTGTGTGTGCGTCTGTGAGAGAGACTGGGAGAAATAGGCACGTGCCTAGAATGCCCATGCTTAAATCCAGCCCTACTCAGAGCATTATATTTTAGTATCTTTGAGGGGTATTTTGGTTTTTTTACATGCGCATTTGTGCAACCTCTCCTCCAGTATCTCTCGGCGCAGGGTTTCTCACTTACAGGTAAGCAGAGAGTGGGAAATGCAAAACCCGAAATGGAGCTCAAGCGGAGTGTTCATAAAACGCTGTTTGTCTGCCTCTCCGCTTCCAATTATATATGGTATTCCACGCCAGTTTTTAGTCTTTACATTTAATCTTGAACGTTTTTGATACGACATTGCACAAGTTAATTGTTTTATCCGTGCTAAACGGCTAAATTAGCTGGTTAGAGAGTAACACCGATAGCTGGCTAAACACAGATTTAACAACAGGCTAATGTTAAAAAATATGTGTTATAAGTTCACTGACGCCCACTTACCGGTACCTGGGAGGTTTTAGAATTCCTCTCAGCTCAGTTGTGTCCGCTGTGGTGGTCTGGACTGTGTCTTCTTCTTCATACGACTGTAACAGAGTTACCGAGTAATTCCTGCCAGAGTTGTTCGCCCAAAACTCTCCATCTGGCGTCTCGTAGCGCACAACAAAATCAATCCGCGCTCCGTTGAACAGGTACGGTGAAGCGAAGGCCAGCTTCACGGAGAACTTGTCCGTTTCGCCGTCGTTGGAGCCCTGGACATACTCGGCTGGGTAATCAAAGTGATTGATCCAACCATCCATCGTGGACCGGACATAGACTGATTTGTGAAAAGAAATGTTGAGCACACGAATAAGCACCTCGAATGACAGAGGCTCATCTGGCACAGATGTCACGCTCTCCACTTCCAGCTTGTTGCTGTGGGCAGCAAGCACGAACTCCGCTCCGGTGAGCGGCTGGAACTCCGGCCACACACGGTAAGTGGGCTCACAGTAGGCTTTTCGGTACCGCGCCTCCTCTTCCTCCCATCTTGAATCGTCCTCTTCGTCTGAATCAAACGGGACAAACATTCTGACATCAACCAGCTCGGCTCCCGTACTGTCTGCAAACGACACTCTTCTGTTCGTTAACACCAGGCGGATTCGCATGTACTCGGCGGTTTCATCCGCAATCGAAGAGCCTCGCTTTCTGGGAACAGGAGAAGACCTCGGTATTAGCCTGACGTCTTCCTCAGTTTCTAACTCATCTTCATCATTACTGTTGTCATCGGAACGCTCGACCCTCACAGTCTTGAAAAGACCCTCTTGTGAGGGGATAGTTAGGAAATTACTGTTATTCCCCTGCGCCATTACATCTGTTTCTGAGCCGCGTAAACATGAAGGGTGCTGTTACTGCGATGGTGCGCGTCCGTCAGACCGAGCTACCGTTCATAGTGCCAACGGAGACCCGCGAGGGTCTGTCACCTCGTTTCGACCGAACTAGGCCTAAACTATTGACATCAACGAGAACTGCAGTTTGGAGCGCATAGTGCACAGACACGAATAAGTGTCTAAATTTAGAAGGAAGCGGCACGGCCATCGTTTTTCAGAGGTCAGGAGGAAGATGGGCTCTGTTGGTATACCCCTCCCCCTGATCTCTTGTTGGCCGCTCCAAACCGCACACGCCCCCCGCTACTATTTTAAAGTTTAAAGACACGCTCGTTTGTGTGCTTGCCGTTTGTTGTGAGAAAAATCTTATAATACTAATCGCAAAATAAGTTTAAAAAAAAGACAATATTGCTAAAAAGCATATGGTGCTACTCTTATAACAATAATAATCGATCTATTGGTCATATTTTATTTATATATATACACACACACACACACACACATTTGTCATATAATGTAACTTTATGATAATATTAACAACATAAAAATTACTGTTAATAATCATAAAACAATAATAACGATGATGAGATGATTATATAATCTGAACTAAACCATTCTTTTGTTTTCATTTCATTTGAAGACATTTTCGGCCAAGAATACAGTAAATACTTTGTGTTGCTGTCAAGAATATGTAAACCATTGGTCTCAAACTCAATTCCTGGAGGGCCACAGCCCTGTACATTTTAGCTCAAACCCTAATCGAAGACACCTGATCCAGCTAATCAAGGTCTTCAGGATCACTAGAAACTTCCAAGCAGGTGTGATTTGGAGCTGCCTGGAGCTAAACTCTGCAAAGCTGTGCAGAGTTTATTTACATCATAGTTTACATTTGATGTGGTTTACATCATGACCACCAATGATGTAAACTAAAAAAAGTTTTGTTTTTTTTTGTATATAGAATTTCTATAAAAAAAATTTTTAAAAACTGGTCACAGTTCACTCGTATTTAAACAACCAGTTATGGCCATTCAGCATGTTATGCAGCTTTAAATAGTTTGGGAAGATTCAGCCCCTCACACATACTCTCCTCCAGGATGAAATGGGGCTAAAGCCCACCTGGGGCAACACCCTGTAACTCTAAAACAGCTCCAACTCACACCTGCTTGGAAGTTACTAGTAATCCTGAAGAGCTTGATTAGCTGGATCAGGTGTGTTTGATTAGGGTCGGCGCAGAGCTGTGGCCCTCCAGGAATTGAGTTTGAGACCATGCACTGCTCTAAAACAAAGTTTTAAAATGCTGGTTTGAATTGTAGTTCTGATATGCACACCATTTACCAACAGCAGAATTACAGTTTTGAGTCATGATATGTGAAGAATTATGAAATACCAAGAGTGAGCAAAAAAAAAGCAGTTAAAAACAGTTTAAATGTCTAATTCTTTCACTCATAAATAATAAATAGATAAAACACAAAAGTCCCTGTGTGAACAGCTTGCCTACCTGTCACTGATTGCAGAGTTTATGCAGAAAAAATTGTAAAGGTCTGTTAAATTAATTTCTGATAGCATAATCCAGTGCAGCTGCTTCAAATGAACATTATAGTAGAATGATCATGAAGCTAACGAGATCCAGTGGTGAGAAAGAAAAGCTGGCATATTCAATTATGGACCATTACCGTTTAGAGATATTGATTGGTAAGCTATTTTAACTCCTTGATGGAGCAGTCAGTCTTGCTTAATATAGTGAAATCAATATGTGCAACAGGTGCAGCATCAGGGGACTGATGATTGTATCCATTTTTGTTTAACAATGAATAACTCTGAGGGGTGGTTTCCCAGACAGGGTTTAAATTAAGCCAGGAGTAGGCTTAATCTAGAATAGTTAATCATGGTTTTAAAAAATGGCTTTCTGAAACACAGGTTACATACAGATGACTAACTCCTGGACTATGGAGTCCTGAACTAAAATAAACTAGATTAATTTAAAACCAACTGTGCTAATCTGAATTAGAATGAATGACTTTCTGAAACACAGATTAAGTACAGATTACTAACTCCTGGACTATGGAGTCCTGAACTAAAATAAACTAGATTAATTTAAAACCAACTGTGCTAATCTGAATTAGAATGACAGAGGTTGCCTATAAAACATGGAATGAACCAAGAAAAGCTTAAAATTGAATGGAACTGAGAAGCAAATCCAAGGAAAACAATAGTAGCGCAAAAAAAAAGAGACTGTGATCAATAACAACAAAAACAAACAAAAATTTTTTTACTAAACAAGAGAAAACTTTTTTTTTTAAAACAAGCAAAGTAAACCGCACACTTCAGGTGTCGAATAATAAAAAAAGGAATGCCTAGGAATCTCTTTGTAATGAATTATTGCATAACTTATTGCAATCAGCTGTTGTCAGTTTTGCAACATTTTATTATTATTATTCATTATATTATACATAAAGCAGCTGTTTTAGTTGTAATGAATTATTGCATAACTTATTGCAATCAGCTGTTGTTGTCAGTTTTGCAACATTTTATTATTATTATTCATTATATTATACATAAAGCAGCTGTTTTAGAGAGAGAGCAACAGAGAGAGTCATGATGAGAATTTTTTAGCACCCTAAAAAAATATGATCAAAGAGGACTGTGAAAATAAATCTGTATTGTTTATCCTTCTGATCTTTCATTTTTTTTAAGTAAATAAAAATAAAATAAATAAATAAATCACAACAATCATTTCAACAAAATCACATTATAAAAATATTTTTTCTTTAATACACATTGGCCACAATTATTTGTAGTCCTAGAAATTATTATTAGTACAGTCTCTGAAGATCTACATTCCCGTTCATATTTACATTTTTCACCAGGGTGATAGGAACATGGAATTATCCAGCCATGACTTCCTGTTTCGCAGGAATATAAATATGAGGAACATAAAGGCCAAATTCTCTTTATCATCAACCACAATAAAAAACCTCAAAGAATATAGTTCTGTTGTGCAGCAACAGATTGTTGAGCTTTACAAAATATGAAGTCAAAAAATAGCACAAAATAGTGCTAAATAATATATATATATATCTAATTCAGTTCCACCATTAGGACAATAATTAAGGAGTTCCAAACCTGTTCCAAACCTGCCTACAGTATATTGTCTGTGTCTATTGTCTTAATGCAATGTGAGGATAGTTTGAATGGCCAAAGACTCTCCAAGGATCACAGCTGGATAATTGCAGACAATAGTTAAGTCTTGGGGTCAGAAAGCCTTATAATGGACCACGGTTGGATCTTTCAACAGAACAATGATCCAAAAGGACCATCTAGTCTTCCTCCAGGAAATCAGCCTATTAAATTCTGGACTATAGGCTAAGTCTGAGACTATTTAAAATCATGGCAGAGAAAGCAGATTTCTGTTAATCTGGTTTAAAGGGCCATTTTAGTCCAAGACTAGGCTTAATCTCTGTCCGGGAAACTGCCCCTGAGAGTTTATTTTTTTTACCTCTCATATTTTAACACAAGATATCTTTATCTGTCTGCTACAAATGTCAGTCAGAATTCTAATAATTATAAAGGCGATTTAAAGAACTGGTTTTGAACACAAAGAGTTACATTGTTGCAACTCAAAGTAAGCTGTTAAACTAGTTAGGGTCAGTTGTAACAGTATGAGAGAAAAGAATAACAGCAAAAAATGAACCATCATTATACATATAATTTGCACCGTAACAGCTGCAATATTTAACAAGAAGTTACCTTTACTTGCATGTTACCTATATATCTACTGCATTTGAAAATAAATCCATAGTACAGCTCAGCTGCCTGCATGAAATAGTCAAGACAACTCTTACCTCTGAAACATCTGTCTGTTTTTCTGTCTGTCTAGGCATGCTGAAAAATCAAGAAAATAGAAAAAGTCTTCAATGGGGATTGGTTTTGTTACAACTCTCCACACCCCTGTCAGGTATTGTTGTTGAATGAGGATATGAGATAATCACGATTTGAATGCATCCCCCTATTTCCCAGCAAATATAAGGTCTATGATTAAAATAGAAAAATTATTGTGCAGACATGGTTAAAAAAATTACATACAACCTTGTGTCTCAAAAATTGTATGTATTCCAGTGACTACTTTTATAACTAACCTTGTGTTATGAGTATCTGCTCAAAGATACCTGAAACATATGACCCTTTCTTAATCTTGATCTTTTTTTTAGTTATCCTGTTGGTTCTTTGCCTACCAAACGTTTTATTTTCCTTTGCTGTCACAAAACTTGCTCAAAGACTAAGAATATAATATTGTACAAAACACTACGTGATGCTATAATCTGTGTACTAGAGACAAATAATAAAACAAAACGTTCAACCTGGAAGTGGTGAAACTTTTTTTCGTTGTTTGTCTCTAAATGTCTTATATATCATCACATGTTATTGAATTCGGCAGGCACACGTTATAAAAGTTATGAGAAGAGCTGAAAGAATAGCAATCAGTGAATTTATATATAAAAAATCTTTGATTTTTAATTTATGTTAAGCAAATCTTAACTTTTCTTTAAAAGTTTATGGACACAATAACTGTTAGTTTATGTTTTTCAATGTAAGATTTTTATCATCTTTTTATAATTGTTCTACATTGATCCCTTAGGTTTACCCCGCACAATAAAAATTGGGCTTGTAAATTAAAAAAAATGGTCAAATTGAATTGTTGAACATAAAACATAATGCATTTATATAACCAGTTCCCAAATGTTTATTCATACGTTTATTAACAGTGTACATGTTTTATATGTATTTCATATTATTTGAACTTTTCAGACTTCATAAATATGACCCCAAGTATCACTTGTTTTTTAACATTGATCTGCCTGTTGTTAAGATACATGTTCAAATCTACTCTTTTCATCTTCAAAAATGTTTTGAAGTTGTATGTAGTTACAGTCCGTACATGTATCAGAAAAGACTTGCAAGTCTACATGCAGTACATGTGCTTGGGAGTGTCATTATTGAAGAACAATTTGTTCAAAAACACTCAAATAACCTTTTCAACCACAGGATGAGGATGTTTTTTCCTGCGTTAAACTTATCGACACACATGCTATGTACCCTGTACATATGTTCAGTCTCCCCCCAGAACCCGAATACAACGTCACAAACCCTGCAAACGGACTTTCCGAACACGTAATAGGTTATTTTCTTTGCAATCTCATTTTCCGGTCTTCCGGAATGGATTTTTAATTCATTTTCATGTGAAAGTAGCACGCTGGTCCTTATTTATGTGGGTATATGGCAGAATTATTATTTTGTTCTTTTAATCTCAAACAAGAAATCTGACATGAATTAGCTGATCCATGAAAATATGTTTTATCTTAAATGATAAGGAAGATGTTTTGAAATCAAAAAAAATGAATGAGGTGAATTAGAAATATCTTTCAAAGCAAATGTGCAGAATCTCATTGATGTCTCGTGGTAAAACAGCACATAAGATGTTCAAGATGAATTTGGGCTTTGGCCCATCCACACCAAAGGAATAATTGACTTGTTTATTTATTTGTTTATTTATGATTAACAGTCAGCAATACACATACAGTATGAGACCCTAAGTAATAAAAAGACAACTATCTATAAAACATTTACATGTAAAAAACCTTAAGTAATCACTCAGGAAAAATGGAAAAAATGGGTTTTTGCTGCAGTGAAGGTTTTCTAAAATAGGAAACAGAAACAACAAATTGCCACATAATTTCTGAAGAAGATATGGTCAGTCTGACTAGCAGTTACTACACACTCAATGCACACATGAATATACAATATGAACACACACACACACACGCAAGCCAACACCCAGTGGGGAAACAGTCTGCCTTGCTGAATTTCCACTAAATGTCATGCTAAACATTATAAAAGGGGTGACCCGAACATTTTCCAGAGCATTCAACCTAATAATCGCTCTCTCACTTGCATCTAGCTGACACTCGCACAACAGGTGAGTTTTTTCCCCTCCTTTCAACCTGGTTGTATTAATTAGGCATTTGTTTGTTTTCAGAAAGAAAGAAAAAATTAAAGAAAAAAAAGAGTAACTTTAATCAGTGCTTTTATAACCCAAACCACAAAAGATTTTTTTGTTTACTTTTTTTGCCAGTGTGACAGCAGTGTGTGAGAATAAGTTGATTAAGTTATTGTGCGTTTTTAAATTATGAACAGTATCGCATCATCAAATGTACATCATTTTTGATTCAATTTTAATCCTCAAAATATGCTTTTGTTTTGACAGACAAGAGTTTGAATCATTTTAATCATTGCATGTTTTAAAGCTAGATTGGTTCAAATGATCACATATTTCTCAAACCAACCACTGAATGAACTGACTCATTTTACACTTAAACTGGCATTGTACTTCCAGATGATGTGACAATTTACATAACATTTCATTACGCTGTAGTTTCTTTTAACCTGACAAACTAACACAGCTCAGCATAGGAAAAAGAGACAAGCAACCAAACAGTGTGCTTTCCTAAAGTGCAGACGCAAATGAGGTCTGTGCATCTTAGACATCTCAGTCTTTGGTTTTCTTTCCTGTTCAGAGGCACCACAAAGGCCTTTGCTGAGGAGAAGGATTCAGTTTAAGCACACATAGAGTGACGTCTCAAGGAAAAGCGCCAGACAAAGAAAGGTGTGGGAGGTAAAAGAGCCTATCTTCTACAGAGATCCTGCAGTTATGATAGCAATTGCATCATGTATTAGTTAAACTAATGTGTGAAATCAATGTTCCATCTTAAAGAAGGATTACCCAGACAACAGATGTAAAGGGTAAGTCATACAACTATAAAAATACACTTCTTGTGTACCTGAGAGCTGCACATGGGGAGAAAATGAGTAGGTGCAAAAATTTCAAAAATAACTTGACACGAAATAAGTTTTTGATGGCTGTCTTTGCCTTTTAAAATGTCACCTCTTTATTCAGATTATTTTTTTTTACCAAGAAATTAAGTTCTCGTGACAGCCACATTTAAAAGTAGCGGTTCTTCAATGGTTCTTTGTGGCATCTTTTAGCAAATAATCCACATTTTAGCAAGAACCTTTTTTGGCTGTGGTGGATTCTTGAGCTGAGTTATACAGTTCTTTGAAGATTCAAATTAGAAATGAGCTCTTCAGGTTTTTTTTATGTTGGTTTTGTGTTCTTTAAAACATCAGTTCATCATGGTTTTCAACACAACTAGAGAACAAACAGTTCTTAGAGGAAGTTGAAAAAGTACTTTGACGTCAGGCTGTAAAATCTTTCTTGGTTTGAACCGTTATTTTTAAGAATGATAGCATTAGCTAGTTATGATTTGGTATATGATAGTGATTGGAAAACCAAGTTACATGTTGTAAAAATTGATCAAATTCTACAGATGCATCGATATTACTATTCTGAATTATACAATAGGCCAAAAATTATTTTCATGCTATGTTCGATAACCAATAAATTTTTTGTCCAAATAAATAATAATAACATTAAAAAGATAAATCTCTATATATGCTTTCACATGATGCTATTTAGCCATTTTCACAAGCATGGAAATCTTTTAGGCACTTACCTTGGTACTTACTGTACAATACCAGAGAATGCTCAAGAATAGCACTCTTTAATGCAAAATTAGCTTCGTCTTGCATATCTTCAGCAGTTACCACAGATAGTGCAGTAGATGCCACTTTAAACAATGAATCAATTAATTCTGACCTCCAACAATAAGAAGCCACGATGGTGGAACTGGGTGGAGCAGGGTGTCCAACTATTAAACACTATCATTTGACTCTTCAAATTAAAGTACAGTACAGTTCATACCTCAGATATCCTGATCTTTGATTCATATCATATTGTGTGTTAACACAAATGAGTGGGTACAGTGGAAAAAAGTGAGTCAGAATGAAATTTTCTATGTTTGTGGGAGAGAATTGAGGCCAGAAGTGTCTTTATGTTCCATATCTGTATTTTTTTTAAAATTATTATTAAAGACAAGTTTCAGGTTTAATTCCGGGTGTGTGTGAATTGAAAATATTTGATGGGCCGTTGCTGCATTTAGTTGGCTCACAGCTTAGATCTGATGATTATCACTGTGACTATGAATTCCACAGAACACGGAAACTAAAACTGATTTTACTGAATACTGAAGTTTCTAAAGTGTCATCGTTGTAAAATGAAACTTGCTGTCAGTCCAGACTATTCTCATATTTTGAGGGATTTTATCTCAGTGATTGGAACTGAGAGAAGACTGTATTCAGACTGAGAGATGAATAGTGAGTTTCATTGCCTTGAATAATCCCAGTCTTATCAATATCATCTTCAGGTCGGACTCTCAGAGGAACAAATTAAAATCAATGCACATTCAGTAGGCACAAGATCACAACATTGAAAACTAATCCTGCAAATTACTGGAAAATGATACCCTTGCATATTGCTGATCTAAACCTCTGATAATTAGCCTCGATGACTAACGATACAGAGAAGTGCAGAAAAGGGTCATAAATATAACATGTGCTTAAGCTACTTTTAAAAATGTGCTGCAAACATGCGTAGTTGATCATTTTCAAGATAAATGTATTTCTAGAATATTTGAAAACATTTGTTACATATTTGTAATATGTTGTAAAACATTTCAGCACCTGCAAAATAAGGCTCTTCTCCTCCTCATCACGTCAAGTTGCTTGTTTGAAAAACCCCCCAGGTGAAAAAAATTTGACATTTATCATAGACTGGATGTGGTTAATGTCAAATGTCAATGAGAAATAAGCAACACATGACTTCTTAAACAAGTTCAGAAAAAACCGCAATGACAATGGCGCTCTAAAATCCAAAGATGAAGGTTTTTTTTTTCTTTCTCAAAGGTTGTATGTGCAAGGTATGATAAATCCACACTTTTACACTATTAAATATTAAACAGAAGTTACTGCATTAGATCTGAACACATATGGAAGTACTATATTTATGGGGTGAGTCAGATATATGGTCTACGTAAGGTTGGAGCGTCATAGTCCTTTTAGATTTAATAGCCAATCGTGTAATTATTTAATCGCCATAAATATTTGAGACTTTAGAATGTAGTCTACTTGACCTATAGCTATTGATTTGATTGTTTTGAGTTTCTAAGATGGACTGAACAATTCTTTTTACAGAGGAAAAATAAGATTAATAAAGATATTAATGTCCATGTATGCCAATTGATCATTTCAGGTTGATGTATTTGTAAGACAAAAATGTGTTACACTATTTTAATTTCAAATGGTAATATTTTGATGGTTCCTTTTATTTAAAAAATCCAAATATAAGGCTAGATGTGTCATATTTATATTGTAAATGGGGAGTAAACATGCATATCATTTTCACATTTCCATGAGCTACGAAAAAATTAATTGAAAGGGTTGAATGCAAAAAAAGAAAATGAAAAATTATTCATTTAGTACTAATTTTGTATCTACAATGATCAAATTACTTAAACTCTTATTAACAATAAGAGTTATGCGTCTTATTGTTTATATTATATAACACTCTAATCTCAATCTTACAAACACACATTTTTAATGTAAATATTTTGTGGCTAAGCCATATTGTAAAATGTGTAATATCAAATAGATTAATAAAGAGCAAAAATAAAGACTGCTTGTTTTAGCTGACAAAATTGTTTGCTTCACAGAATGGGAAAAAAGTTCTTCAGTTTATATATAAGGGGCCTACTCAAGGTGAAGTGTGGTTTGTGTTCAGAAAACACCTGCACAGTGAAACGAGAAGGAAAAACAACTTCCATACTTTTACTAGTTTTATTCAAATATGTATAGTTATTCTATATTTGGAAACAAAGCAAAGGTGAATGTATTTACACAGGAAATAGTTTGCGCTAGGGCTGATTCATTTCACTCTTAGTACGCAGTAGTACGGTAAAGTTCATAAACTGTAACCTCTTTTATATCTTCATATTTCTATATAGGAATGCTTCAAAATGGTGCTGGAACACACAAAGGTGGAGATAACTGGAGTAGTCACCAAAATCAGTACCAAGAGGAAGACCGTTCTACCTTTTCCAGCATGCAGATGAAGGCCAGAGGAAGCAGTTCATCTCTGATCTCAGGCAAACCCATGGCTACCAAGGTAACGGACCGGAAACTGACATATTTCTGTATTGCTGCACAAAATAATAATATTAAATATATGAATTAAATTATATTATATGAAGGTTAATAATGTTGATTTGAGTTATTCTGCCCCAAAAAAACGAACTTTTCAGCTCAAGTAACACATTCTACTGAAAGAATGAGTACTGTAGCAAACAAACAAACCTTAAAAAGTATATTTTTCCACTTGTGATTTCAAAGGTGTCTGTTGCCTTGGAGAGTGATTTCAGAGGTTCTGGCTCATCTCACATTCAAAATTCCACTCTACAGCAGGAGGTACAGTTCAGTCAGAAAAGGTTTCACTTCCCTAGCAGCACCTTACCTAAGAAATAAAGGGTTATAAAGAATAGAATAAACTTGCATGCATTGTCTGTTGTCTTTATCCAGACTGCCAGTGAAAACACAAGCAAACATTTCAGACAGCACAGACCATCAGTACTACGCAAAGGCAACCAGCCGTTCCCGCAAGGTACTGGTACTGTAGACTTTATCAAAACAAATGAAATCATTTATCTCTGACACTAAACTTTTGATAATGCTCTACAGCTTGTGGTGTTCATGACTGGGTTGTGGACACTGTGTGTAAGACGGAACCTGACAGTGCCCTGTCAGACCCTGTGCCACTTTACACCAACCAATCAGAAAGTCCTCAGCCTGGCAGCACAGAGCATACTGGGAAGTGAGTATCTGCTTTGAGAACATAAACACACAAACAAATAAATAATGCCTGTATGGTCTCAGTATTTGTGCTAAATGAAGCATTTATGGTTATCTCTAGGCATGCATACAGTCTTCCAGGTGGCTTTCTGTGTGTTAAAGGACAATGTGGATGGCCTGGGTGCTCAAAGAGCAGAGAAGTGTTCAAAGAATATGGACATTTCTTAAAGTGAGACAGTTATGGAATTAAAAAGATCATTTACTAAATAATTCCAACAATACCTGATATCTCTATATTCCATAATCTAGACACCTTTCTACTGACCATGCTCCTGGGGACAGAAGTATAGCCCAGTTGAGGATCCAGAAAGACAAATTACAATACATGGAGAATCAGGTATGCAACCCCAGTGCTCAAAAACAACGGTTTGTTCTATATTAAGCCAGCTTATGTGGGAAATACAGAACCAATTTAATATGCATCACAGGAGCTAATGATACATAATGCAGGAGGTTATAATAAGAACTGGGTTATTAAAGGATGCCTGTTTATGGCCTTGCATTATATTTACTATGTGAATGTTACTGTTAGTTGATTGCAGAGAGACAGAAACTGCAGGCCATGCAGCTACACCTGTTCGACGTCAAATCTACCTCTGAGGTAAGCTCTCTTGTATTAAATTAGTTTTGAAATATATAATACATCTAAATAAGTGGTCCAATCTATGCTGCTTAAGAGAGAGTAATTGGCGGCCATTCGCTGGCAATCACAGAGCTCATAAATATGAGTGTAGCCACCCATAAATCTGGGAAGAGTTACAAGGCAATTGCTATTTTAAGATGTGTAATAAGAACACACATTTACAAGTGGAAAAAATCTTCCCAGCAAGCTCACCTATTAAGGTAAGAATATGTAATGCTCAGAGGAAAGCTACATCAATTGATCTACACTCCTTAGTTAAAAAACAAACAAGTATAATGCTATTGAAAGGGAGTCAGCAAAAATCATGATTTGTAAGTGCATTATGGCTTTGTCTTCACACCAGTTTATTCTTGAGACAAATGCAAGGCCATCTGTCTGCCAGCTAAAGCAGACCTGAAATTAGGTCACACCAGACAACAGTGATCTTTAGCTAGTCTACAACAGTAAAAAAAAGGGAGCATTAGAAAAGCTAAGACAAAACCCTGTGTGAATTAATCAAATTATTCCATAATGACAGTGGGATCTGTTTATGTTCTCATTTGAGGTTAGATTTTACCTGCTTCTGGGGCTTGATGAAAGTCAGATGATATTTTATGTCAAGATGATATATTGATGTAATTTTCTCCCTCTGATCTTAGGATGGTAACAGTGTGGAGAAGTCAGGACATCTGTCAGAACTCCTGCAACCTGCAGCATGTCAGAACGCAAATGGTGTCTATGACAGTGACAGAGCGGCAGCTGAAGCGCTAACACAAGGATACTGGCAGATCTCTACCTCACAAGTTATACCAGGTCATCCAGCACACACACATTTGTTACTATTAAAATTATACAATACAAAAATACTGGCTCTGATTACCAGTCGTTCATATTTCATCTCCACACACAACACTACGGTATATGATGTAATTATTTTCTTCATACGTTTTTTTTTTCTGGCAATAGGGATTATCCCCAGTTTTGAGTATTATAAGTTCACAAACATGAGGCCACCTTTCACCTACGCCTCCATGATACGATGGGTAAGTACTGCTGAATTGAAAATCCTATATACCTTTTCATTTCCTGTCAGTCACATAAAAGCTGTCTTTTATGCCAGGCGATACTGGAGTCCCCAGAGAAGCAGCTTACTCTGAACGAAATCTATCACTGGTTTACCCGCATGTTTTTCTACTTTCGTCACAACACCGCCACATGGAAGGTATGAGATGAACTGTTTGTACTGTAAACCTATTGTATTTGTCATTCCATGACTCACTGCACACAAGCCAATCCTGAAAGCCACAGCCTCCGATTTGTAGACCAGAAAACTTTCACAACTTGTATGTTAATGACAGAAAGTGATGACCAGGCTGTGTGATTACAGTGGTTTTTTGTTAGGACTAAGTGCATCTTATTCCTCCTATTAGATGTAACATGATTTAACAAGTAATTTATGTGTCTCTGTCTGTGTGTAGAATGCTGTTCGGCATAACCTCAGTCTTCATAAGTGCTTTGTGCGCGTTGAAGGAAGAAAAGGTTCTGTTTGGACCGTGGATGAAGAGGAATTTCTGAGAAGAAAAGGACAAAAGTTTCACAGGTAAACTGTCTTTCCTTCTTCATAAGGGTGTCAGTAACATTGTACTTTCCTAATGCATGTCACACTCCTGGTGGATAGTTGGTTGTATGTATAAATACAAGAAGTTAATTTTAAAATGGCTGAGTAGTAAAGGTTAAAAAAAACTACTTGGGCTCTTTGGATGGATCTAAGTGGATGGTGGGAGAATAATGATATTGATTTATTGCAGTTGCACCACTTTTTCCTCCAGGGATCAGGATATGGGCTGGATGGCACCTTTTCACCTGCTTCCTGTGACTCCACAAGGTGAAACTTATCAGATGCAAGGCCCAAATGGACTCTAATGAAGAGATTACAATCGCATTTCTTAGTAGGAATGATAAATATTATGATAGTTTAAAATTAACTTTAATTTTTTATAACATATATGTTTTAAACATATATCTGGCAGTCTGTTTCAGACCTAATTATGTTTTTTTGGGGAAAAAAAACTTTTGTGTAAGGAATTATGAATCTTGCATAATCCAAAGGTAAAGTTAAGTAGTGGGTGTTCAGCAAACTTTTCACTATCCTTCTTGCTTTTAAATGTACTGATTATAAAGTACAAGTACGTTTTTTATAAAGCTTACAATTGTACATCAATAATGATACTAATAGCATCGTATGTAAATACATTTAATATGGTACTTAATTTAATAATTATGCTGTTAAACAATAACTGTACATTTTCTCTCTATGAATTAATGTCTTAAAATATGATATTCAAATAAAGGTCCAAACTGAAACGCAATCCAGCATTGTTATACTGTTATTCTGGTACATTATACACTACACAACGTCAAGTTTTGCTTCTAATAAACTAAAAAATAATGCAAAACCTCCCAGTCAGAAATATTTCACAGTGCGTAAATGCAACGCAATGGTGATGTACTCCATGCTCCTGCTCGTCTCCAACTGCAGTACAACGTCTACGATTGGCCGAGAGATTTTTGCGCGGTGCATTTCAGCCAATCAGAGCTTTATTTTCGCGCTCGTATGCAAAGCCTCAGATAAATGGCGAACGGAAGGGCAAACTGTAAACAAATACAACAGAACTGGACATTTTTAGACGTATTGTGACTTTTAAGAGAAAAGTAACTCTATATTACGAATGCTGTGTGTAAATACAAACGGAAATATTCGATATGCGACAATCAGCGAGAATTTAAACTAGCCTCATTCAGCGTTAGGAAGCTACCTAGGCCTGCTGACATTTGCGCAGACTTGGAATTTGATAGCGTTAGTGCTGTAATGCGAACGAGGGCTCTGGATAGAGACCCGCACAGTTAACTCAATTAGCATTTAAAATTTGTTTTAAAATCGTCTGACAAAGTTACAACTAGGCAGCATCATGAGTACAAACTCGGACAGCGGTCAGCCGTCCGAAACTAACCAGAGGAAAAGAAGTGTAAGTCCAAGTGTTGAGTCTGACTCCACGCTGCCCAAGCAGGCGAAAGTAAGTGATGAGGAACCAAGGAATGACTCTCGTGAAGATGCAGAACCTGAGAAAGTTGGCAATGATGAGCCAAAACACGGATCTGAGCATCCTGAAGACGCTAAAGAGAAGGATACGGTGATTCTGAATGAAGCAGACGCGCAGGAGAGCACAGGACAGGCTTGTGGAGGTGAGAGCGAGCGCCAGTCGTCAGATTCCGCTGCCATCGCCGCAGCAGAAGCGCTTGCCAGTCTGACCGGTGGAGACGCGGACGAAGACCGTAAAGAAATGCCCTGTTCGTCTAAAAAAGCGAGCCGAGAGAAATCAAGGGATAAGTCTAATCGTCCCAGTTGCTCTCAGAGCGAGAGAAGGACGGAGGCAGCCGCGGCTGACAGCTCTTCATCCCTGCTGCTCTGCGAGGACCGAGAAGATCCAGAGCAGGCTTCGTTCGTGGATGATGAGGAGGAGGATGACGACTCTCTTCCTGGCTCTTCCTCCACGGCTAGCTCGTCTGTCGCCTCTGATAATGATGATAACGAGGACGGAGAGTGTGCCATAGTGTCGGTGAAGATGGCCCCGGAGGTGCGGCAGTCCGTGGCGCTGCTCGCACAAGTGCAGATGCGGCTGGACGCGCTGGAGAAGAAAGGCGCGCGTCTGCATCAACGCCTGGAGATGAAACTGAGCCGCCAGCGACGCCCTCACCTGGACCAGCGCGGCGCCATCACTCAAGCCATCCCAGGCTTCTGGGTCACTGCTGCATCCTTTGGCTTTGTGTGCATGACGTTCAGGTGGACAACTTAAGTATCAAGGCCTTTGAAGTTGAGTTTTTATATATATATATAAAACACACACCAATTTAAATTTAATTGGTCAAAAGGTGTTATATTAGATAGTTCACCCAAAAATGAACATTCTGACATTAATTACTCACCCTCATGTCGTTCAAAACCCGTAAGACCGTCATTCATCTTTGGAACACAGATTAAGATATGTTTGATGACCCTTCATAGACGGCAATGGAACTACCACGTTCAAGGCCCAGAAAGGTAGTAAGGACATTGTTTAAATAGTCAGTGTTTCAACCTTAATGTTATGAAGCTACGAGATTACTTTTTTGTGGCTTTGGAACAACGTGAAGGTGAGTAATGACAGAATTTTCATTTTTGGGTGAACTATCCCTCTAACTGTCACCAAAGATCATACTTGGGGGGTGTCATAACTGGGGGAAAAGGGGGACGGAGTACATAGGGCCCACAATGTTGTCCTTTGGGATTTTGAGGGGGCCCTATAGCAAATTCTGTGCGATTGGCCCAGAATCCCTAGCAACTTTACTCATCATACTCTAAACTCCTATGTTCATTTTGGTTTTTCATTTGCGTCAAATGTGTTTCAACCAAATGATTGTGGATTCCAGATCTTTGTCTTCATTTACGTAATGTGTGCTTAACTTAAAGCCAATCAGCTTCTGAATCACCCACTTCTATCAGCGCAAATTGACGAGACTGATGAAGATGCTCTAAGCTACATGACTAACTTAGAGGTAATACATTTTTTCCCGTTTTTCTTTTTCCTGTTTTCAAAATTTGCAAATGATCCATGTTTTTAATATGCTCGTCATTCGACAGATTGAGTCTTTCAAGAACAACAAACTTGGTTACCGCATCTGCTTCCATTTCCGGCGAAATCCCTTTTTTCAAAACAAAATGATAGTGAAGGAGCTTCATCTTGGTATGGGAGGTGAGCTGACCATTATCACAGTACCCCTCTTTTCATGAATGTGAAACAGATTACTTTGGGACACATTTATTTATTCTGGGTTTTAATTTTTTGAAAAAGGTAAATGTGCTTTATCTGTATGTGCTTTCCTTTTTGCTCAGGGTCACCGGTGTCGTTCTCAAACCCGATTTTGTGGCACAGGGGGCAGAATCTGGTCGGTAGTGGAGAACCACGTCGAACATCACAGGGAGTCTACCAGAGCTTCTTCCATTGGTTCAGTGACCACAGCAACCCAGGAAGGGATGACATCGCGCAGGTACATCTCTCATGTGGTTTGGTGCAGGAAGAAGGGCTGTATAAACAGGCCATAACAAAATCCTTAAACATAGTAAGGATGATGATTTAAAAAAATGATTCCCTTCTAGATCCTGAAAGATGACCTGTACAGAAACCCTTTGAGGTACTATCTGACTCCACTCTGGGAGCCACGAGAGAATGGCAGGTAATCTCTAGCCTGAAACATCCAGATTTTTCAAAGTGTATTTTTAGGTTTTGCTTTTTTTGTTGTTTTAAACCAATTTCTGTTGTCCAGCAGAGGTCCCAAACCTCAGGGCAACAATAATGGAGACGAGTGTGTGATCATCTCAGATTCAGATGAAGATGAGGAGAAGAGCCAAAACTTGGGGCAAGAGGATGAAGATGATGACCAAGTCGGAGGTGAGGTTTTCCTTTTCACAATCAAGTCATATAGTTTAATATAAAGTGCTTTTATAAAGTCTTTCAAATCAATAAATAAAACTGGTCTTTTTTTTTCCCCAAATCATCATGACTGATCATTTTCTCTTAGGCTCAGAAGAGAATGACAGAGATGAGGGGGAGTCCTCCTATGAGGAGAGAGATGAAGAGGAAGTGGATGTTGAGGAAGTAGAAGAGTCACGTGACTCCAGTGGCTGTGAGGTCAGAGAGCAAGGACAGGAAGAGGAAGATATTGATGTAGATGAAGAGAAGAGTTAGGACACGGGGTTGTCTCTGTTTCTTTTTACGCAGAATAGCATCATTCGAATTTTCTATGATCTGTTTTACTGATATCATTTCCTGCATAAATTAAGAGTCTGTTTCAAATAACAAGTGGTTAATGATGCTTAATGATCAGGGTTTAAATATGTCTTCATTGTAGATGGTACTTTCAATACATCAAAGATGATGAATATTCAAATTCAATGTGTGCACTCCTCTGAAAACATGTTTTCCTTAAGATGTCATCACATTTTACAGTTATAACTTTGCATTAACAGATTTCAGAGGGCTACTGATACCAGTAAGACACCTCTATTATCTCACAGCGGACTGTTTAAAGCTTGGGATTATAGACTGCACTTAGTTTAGTTTAGTTTTTGTATGACCGTATATACAGTAGCATTGTCTGTCACTCGCAATCATGACCATTTATAAACACACCATACTTTCCTGTTTGGATGTTTTACAGGCCTAATCATGTTTTTCAGTCATTGCTGTAATATTTTTGTTTAATTGCTGTTTGTGTTACTTTTTTATCCTCATCTACAGAATTCTAACATCATGAAGCAACGGGTTTCCTTGCCTTGTTATTGTTCATAAACTCTACCACCACATTTTGATTATAAGGAGAAAGGTCAAACATTCTGAAATGCTCTTCATTCTGAACCAAAACTAGATAACTCAGGGATGTTTACTCTTTTATCCTTATACTGTAGATGTGTTTCCCTTCACAAGCTTCATTTATTCAGTTTTGTGTCATTAATACATAACATCTTTTGTTTATTGATGAATCTTTAAATAATTGTAGTTTATTTCACTTTGTTTACATAAACAGATTAAATCCTGACACTTGGTACCTCTTACTATGGTGATCATGTGGTCCTTTAAACTACTTTTGTCATGTCTAGAATTGACACACTGTCAACACTTGCACGTTACCATTTATTCACTGCAATGAATAACAATTGTAATGTTATTTAAATGAGCAAAATAGTTGCAAGGTCATCTTGTGGTGTCCCCCCCCCTCCCCCCTTTTGACAGCATGATGTGTGCACTCAATACTCAAACTTTTGTGTCCAGTTAAATGCTTAGTAAAAATGGTAAAAATAGTGAATATGTACACATTTTTTCATGGCATCTTTCATATTCATATCACTTTTGCATTTATTTCTAATAGTGTTTTTTTTTTTTTTTGCTTCTTTGGAATAATTGCTTTAACTTTGGTCAGTCAGTCAGGTATTAGAGTGAAACCATTCTAAATGTTCTCCTAGGTATCTGTAATAAGGCAATTGTGTTAAAAGATTTTGAGTTCATTGATTTTGAGTTTTGACCTGTAAAAGTTTGGATTGAAAATGAAAAGTTGTTAACTCATTGTAAGTATACTGGATTGTACTTGTTTTACTTGCAAGGCCAGTGGTTTGTACATAATCCTTTCCCTTAAAAAGGGTTTATAATTTGTTATTGAATTATTAGGGTAGATTTGACCTACAGTATCAAAGAAAAGCTATATTTTGTGTGCTAAATTTTATAGAGAACTACAATTTTTAAATACGTGTTTTGTTTTTGTTTTC